CTGCAGAAGGACTTGGAACAGAACACCGTGCTTGGGGTGGATGAGGGATACTCTCTCCATATATGTATATATAGTTGCACACATAGCACCAAATAAACCAATAACGATAGTAGCTACCGGTGGTGGTCGTAGTAGCAGTCGCCGTCGTAGTAGGAGTCGGAGTAGCAGTAGCAGNNGTAGTAGTAGTAGCAGCAGGAGTTGTAGTAGTAGTAGTACTACTAGTAGTAGTAGTAGTAGTAGTAGTAGTAGTAGTAGTGGTCGTATAGGAGAATATAAAGCAGCGATAGAAATACTAGTAGCTATCAAGATGGTATACTAAGGGTACCAACTGTAATAATCATATTAGAGTTTCATAGTTCTAGTGAACGTACTGATAAAGCTCTTTGCGCAGAGATATTGACGAGGCTAACGCTTCTAAGTTCATGGCCTGCCGTGGCTGTGAAGGGCCGTGGGACACGCTGAAACTGTTCGGGATCGCGATTTCAGCTTGGGACATGTGCAAGAAGGTCCGGGTTTTGGATCACAGAGCGCACATCCAAGTTCGCTAGTGCAGTTCGAACGGTAGCTTTCGGAGAGACGACTCGTCTCTACGAGGAGGGGCGCAAGCTGGCTCGCAGAGAGCATGAATTCTACAACCTGCAGGCTCGGGAGTAAAGCAGCATCCCCTTATAGTCCCGGTATACTTAATCTGGTATTGCATACCATTCTGTCATTAATCTGTTTTAACATTCACACACACACACACCAGATCCCATTCAGGGACCTGTCAAAGATAGACTGGGATCTGTACTAGGCGGCCGCGCATGCTTCAGCACTTGGAGTCTTGACGAACATGCTATCCCCTACATCTATAATATATGTGTAGTACATTATATATGAGCATAGTTAGATATAGATATAGATATCGATATAGATAACATCATGCGATCATGTGGTGAACTGAGTTGTCGCGTGTTGGCTACGATCAGTTCGGCCACCTCCGTTCTGCAAGGTTTGCCGATAAGTAGTCCAGTCATGACAGAGTCATGCTCGTCATCATGGTACGGAAGGATGCATGTCGACCTGATCATTGTGCCACCGGCAGTATCGTCCTGAAAACAGGCCGAAGTTGCTTCACAAGATCATCTGGAGGAGCCTGTGCGTGAGACAATTCAGCGGTGGGGGCGGGGGCTCAGGAGAAGTTGTTGGTGCCAGACAATGGAATGTTGCTTTGGTTCTCCGAGTTTTATATGCCCGGGATGGGGTTTTGGGGGGTTTTGATTTGACGACTTCGCAGTGGTCCCTAAACCCTAAACCCCAAACCCTAAGATGACGGTGATGAGGCCCTTAACCCTGATGCCAGAACCACTGGATCTCCAGCCCAGGACCCTGCAATCCTAGATCAGGGTTCGGGGAGTAGGATGTATAGACATCTGAGGACTTCGAGTATTCGATGTATGCTTTAACCGGCCTGGGTTTGGTTTCTGATCTTTATAGCTGAGGGTTTGCAATCTCGGTACAGCCCCCTGACTCCCCTACCGTATGACTTTGAAGTAGCGAACATCATGAAAACCTATCCCCCCTAAACCCTAAACCCTAAATCCTAAACCCTATCCCATCAAGGATTGCACGGACCGCCCCAGCCTACGCGCGCCGGGACGGGCGACCATGCCTCTCGATGCGGACCCACTGCAGCCTGCTGCACCTAGGGGCTTTCGATGTCAGGAGGTCGTCCCTTGAGGTTCTACTCATGTAGGGGCCTTAATAATTACCAATACTATTTTTGGGGTTCCTTATTATATGTATAGTATAGCGGGCCCCAAAACCCTATTCTGATTATTAAGGTCCCTATATTATTCACATTCAGCGCGGCTTTAGGGTCCTGACCAAGATGTAGATTTCGGGTTTGGGCTGCTGTCACGCCTCCTGGAACATAGATCCGCGACACCTCAAGCCCTATAGCCGCGGAATGCTTAGCATCTGTACAACCCCGCGCTCAATCCCCGAAACCGCAAGTCGCAAGCCCTGACGTGAAGCCGATCCAGAAATCTGTTTGAGGTGTAGGGCTTCTATAAGGCTTCTACAAGGTATATAGACCTTCTATAAGGCTCCGGTAACTACCCACCTGATAATGTCCTAGATGAAAGCCTCAACTAGCACAAACCCGGAAAGCCTGAGCCTCAATCCACCCAGGCTGGCAAAGGAGGAGAGCCTCACTGAGGCTCTCCAGCTCTGCAAGAACAAGGCCGGAACAGCGGTGAGAGCTTAGAGTTTTCTTACTAATATAGGGGCCTTAATAATTAGAATGGGGCTTGGGGGTTTATTACACTATAAATATAATAAGGAACCCCCAAGAACCTATTCTAATTGTTAAGGCCCCTACATTATGTCAGAATCATTGGGTGGCTCTGCTTAGTTCAATTACGATTCTGAGCCGAACTGTGTGTGGTCCTCATAGTTATAGCTGTGATAAGGATGTATGATGTACTGTTCTGTCGCTGAGAGCTGCTGGGGACGGCGTGGACGTTCTGATCTTAAGCTTCTGGAGTCGACTCCGAAGGCTGAGGGGTTTGGGGTTTGGAGTGTATCCCTAAACCCTAAACATCTAAGGGCATGGACTTCAAATCCCTAAACCCTCTAAGGGCGTGGGCTTCAAAACCCTAAACCCTCTAAGGGCGTGGGCTTCAAAACCCTAAACCCTCGAAGGGTGTGGGCTTAAAGAGCCTGCCGGGCTCCCTCTGACGGTGCAAACCCGGAGCCAGCTGTCAAATCTCGGACTCTCAGCTTCCCTGGCTGTTGTCCCGGCTTAGGGTTCAGGGTTTAGGGCTTAGGGTTTAGGGTTTAGGGCTTAGGGCTTAGAGTTTAGGGTTTAGGGCTTAGGGCTTAGGGTTTAAGGCTTAGGGCTTGGGGTTTACGGGTGGATCTGACTTTTGACACAGAGGGTCCATGGCCGCAGGTCCTGGATGTGGAGTCCCAGATCGCCGGAGCTGCTGCTTGACTCGTGAGTCCATAGGTGGTGGTGGTAGTAGTAGTAGTAGTAGCAGTAGCAGTCGTAGTAGTCGTAGTAGCCGTGGTAGTCGTAGTAGTAGTAGTAGTAGTAGTAGTAGTAGTGGTCGTAGTCGTCGTCGTCGTCGTCGTCGTAGTAGTAGTAGTAGTAGTAGTATTAGTAGTAGTAGTAGTAGTAGTAGTAGTAGTAGTCATCGTCGTTCTAGCAGTAGTAGTAGCAGTAGTGATACCTCATGAACCGTAGTCATGTACTGTTGTCCTACTCACGGCTGCTAGACCCAGAACCCGCTTATGAACTGCAGTATCCCTTCAGACCACGAGCTTTGGGGTTTACAGGGTTTAGGGTTC